TATATCATCAGGAACGTTCTAAAGAATAAGTAAACAAAAAAGTTTATTCCAAACGTTCAGAATGAATAAAGAAATGCATCCTTAATATTAATTAGAACTTTAACTCGGAGGATAAAATTAAACGTTTTCAGTCGGAATATTGGTTCAGGTGCTGTGCACCTGCATCAGGGATTCTGTCTAACGCCCCAAAATATTTAAACTATTAGGTTTGTATATATATATTTCATGATGTAGCTCCGTATTACGCGTTAGGGAGTAAGAACTGGTAAAATCGATGGTAAAAAGAAAAGTGACTATAAATGAGCAAAAAATTGGCAATTTCTGAGGTTAAAACATCTTCCGAAACTGGGGCGAAATATGTATAAATTCTAAGCTTTTATAATCAACAGAAAACTTATGTTTGAAAATACCACTGTTCAATTGCGAAAACTCACCCAATCGCATGCAAGATCTTGGGCATGGCGTTGAGGAAAACCGGGGCGCAATCTCAACAGATTTCGTCTAAAACCTGTCCGAAAGTATCCCAAGATGCCCATAAAAGCAAAAAATATTCAAATAGGATATTGCCAATTTATGAAATGTCAAGCAAATGGTAAAATGTTCCTATCGGGTGCAAAACTGGAACAATCTATTTGCTAGGTTTTTTTTTGCAATTTTCTTCCTTATCGGCTTATATTAGTTATTGCTGTTATGGCGTTCCGATTAAATAAATATGTGAAATGTGAAATTCGAAACTGGATTACAAAGAAGTATGTATTCATATATTGCGAATATATCGCAAGAAAATTCACATTATGTATTACTGTTCCGATTTTGCTCCTCAGTGTAAGTAATACAATATTTAATAAATTTAAACAAAAGTTGCAGTACATACCGACGGACTTTTATTAAAATGTGTGTGCTATCTAAATTAAATTATCGCGTCCTCCTTATGCTTCTATAAAAAATATTTTCTGTTGTTTTTTTATGATAACTTTTTCCAAAAACACAAAATATCTGTTGAACGATGTGCGTATTGCTCCCCTATCAATCAAGGAGGCATCACTTTCTGGTCCTAATCATGCCTCAGGGAACATTCTTTAGTTTCTCGCTTAGGAGATCTCCCATGTGACTCCCAAGCTATTGGTAAAGGAGTACAAACCCGACAAATCTCTCTTATTGCTCCGAAATCAGATCAAGGAGAGTAGTTTTTTATTCCTCGCATTGGGAGATCGCCCTTCAAGTTCTAGAGGGTTCTTCATCGAAGCACATACGTACGTATATAGTTACCGTAGTGTGTGTACAATACATAAATAAAGCCAAAACGCTTACATTTTTAATGACCAGCGAACGTTGGCCGGCAGCTCACTGTCCGGAGATAACTACATATTTCAATTACCAAATTGGCACAGTAGTAAAAAGTTAAAAATAAAAAACAACATTGCAAAACAATTTAATAAATGTCAAGTAAAATGGCGACTTCAAAATTTTATTCTGTCTATTTGAATAAAGCTACAGCATTAGCATTGGCTATATGCTTTATAATGCCACCGACGGCGGAAAGTGTTGGCGAAAATGTAGTTTTGGACTTTTTTGAACAATTACGTGTACGCATGTGCCATCCGATGCCGCAGTTGGGATTACCTGCTTTGGATCCTCTTCAAATCACGCATGTCGAGGAGGAAATCAATAATAAATATTTGATAGAGTAAACTAAAATTTGAATTTAAAAACAGTTTCATCTCTCAAAACTAATTTCAAATTTCTAACTCGAACAGTTTCAGAGGCTCTGTAACGGATTTTAAGATTACTGGCCTCTCGGATTTTACCATAAATGAGCTCAGAATTTCTACAATAAGGAAATCTATTTTCAATATCACCCTACCAATGACGGCACTACAAGCTATTTATGCAGCTAAAGGGTCAGTGGCATATATAGTTAATTTAGCCGGCGATGGCGATGCTGAGTGAGTGAAAAGAAAATAAATTACATATCGCTAATTTAGAGTGAAAAGTTGTTAATTTCACTTTTTATGAAAACTCATATTTTGATACAGAAAGCTAGAGAAATTAAAAATACATAATTTCGAAAAAGATAAAGGCCCTTGTTTCATGTTTTCTCGTTTATATTTATTGAAGTGAAAATTTGTTGAGTCCAAAAGAAGCTCCGAAAAATTCGATAAGTCCAAAATAGTACGAAATCTTTTTATAAAGATCGAATTCCTCTGATACGTATGGTGTTTTGCTTTGATATAAATAGGGAAAAATGTTATATTCAAAGTTTGGCGAAATACTTGAAGAAAATGGCTATAATAAGTTTTTTCCTCCTGTAAAATTTTTCAATTGGGACTTAGCAACTTTTCACTCTAAGCTGGCGGTATGTGTGTTTTGGTATTCATCCTGGTTTTCAAACAGAGCTCATCTAAAGGATTTGAGTTTGAGAATCTCATTTAATTTAAAATCTGGAAAATATCTTGGCATACGAAATTTGAGCATTAAGGTATTGCGCATTGAAAATTAAATTTTTTAGTAAATAAAAACCCTTAATTATCTCGAAGATCACAGTTGGTGAGCTTTACATCGATTTTGAAAATTTACTTGAAGACGAGCGGATAAATGATTTCTTCCATGCATTGGTTAACGAATTAGGCCTGGAGCTTTTGGCAGATCTATGGACATATGAACAAGGTTTTTTGGAGGACTATATTCAAGAGGTATATATTTAAGCAAATACTGCCCGCCTATTGGTTTTCGTGAGTGAGATAAAAAGAAAATTTAAGATAATTCTAAAATAAGGGATTAAAATTGAATATTCACATAACTTTTTCCTGTATTTTTATTTTGTTTTAGAGCGTCAACATTCATATTGGTCAATATACGTTAAGCGATATTATTAAAATAATTGGTGGTAGTGGTGATGGCGAGCCAATATTTGGTAGCGGGCCACCAGGTGACTGCAGGGAAAACGCAACTTTTAATGCTTCCACATAAAAATAAGCATCACAACACTGAAAAAGCTTGGTACCGAAGAGTTAGTGGCGTTATAAATACATAATTGTATAATACTAAATACTATGGCTGCGTTTCTTTATACATTCAGGATAAACCCATTTCACAACCAGAATAAACAGAATGCCATTGAAATATACGTTTACATATCATCAGGAACGTTCTAAAGAATAAGTAAACAAAAAAGTTTATTCCAAACGTTCAGAATGAATAAAGAAATACAGCCTATATGTACTAATATCACAATGTGAGAATGTGTTCTATCATTCTTTAATATATACATATGTTCTATTTTTGCACGTAAGGCTATTGACATTACTTTTGTTAAGGCTTATCTAAGCGAGATTAGTTTATTAATCTCTAGAATTTAAAATTGATTTTAATACAAGCCTCTTTGTCAGTAAAAGATTAGAAACTGTTATAAATACAACGTTAATATTGTTCACTAATTTTCTTTGTTGGATAAATTCCCTGTAGGTTAAAATAACTATAAATGCACTATGGGTCGTTCCATATGAAATCGTCTGCTGTAACTTTGAGGGAGTCTTCTTTTAATTTGAATTAAAACTTTTGAAACTCGCCATTTTTATGCTTCAACAAAATTTAGCTCTAAAATGTTTCGTTTTTAGGTATCTACTAGGGCTAATGATTTCACCCGGATAATGAGCTACCCGGGTACCCGGGTAGCGGTTGAAGCCCTACTTAGATTATATATAACATAAGTTTTAAAATAAAAGTCTTTGAAGACTTAAAAATATTTATCTCAATGATAATTATTTTGAAAAAACTTTTATAATATAAGTCTTAAAATAAACGTCCTTGAAGACTTAAAAATATTCATCTCTTTGATAATTATTAAAGGACTTTTATAATATAAGTCCTTAAATCTCGAAACCTTGAGGGATTTCCCAAATATCCTACGGCAAGGAATAGTGCCATCAAAGGACAAAGGATTTACCTTGGGAGCGTTCGTCGAATTAGCTGGACGATTAAACTGCAAACCCCGGAGATGATCTTCAAGCGCATCCATCTTAGCTTCGACTTTGTCCTGTTTTTCCTTAATAAGCGCGTAGATTTTATCTTGTTTTTCCTCGATTTTATCCTGTCTCCCTCTGAGTTCCGCGTTATCTTTGAATAAATTCTCTTGTAGCCGAGTAATCTTTTCATCTAGCTGTGATGACATGTACGTTTTCTGTGCTACCAGCTGAGATGACATGCGTGTTTCCTGCACTTGCAGCTGGGATGAACAGCGGTCGCCCCTCGGCAGGCAGTGGCAAACCTCCGAGTGTATTTCTGCCATGAAAAATAGTTTCTCATAAAAACACAAACGCCGTTCGGAGTCGGCGTAAAACTATAGGTCCCTCCCCATTGTGTGCCAACACCGAGACGTACGCCACAAATCGAAGGAGAAGCTCGGCCAAACACTAGCATATGTGTACGCGCCAATGTATTATTAGTATTATTATTACACAATTTGTCTAAAACATCGTAATATGGATATCAAATTAAAGATATTGTTGCGAACTTTGGTCAGAAAATATTTTCCATCAGGGTTGCCACGCTTCTATTTAATACAATTTATTTATTTTTTATTTCAATCAGCATTTTTTTATGTATACACAGTACATATACGCTCAAGATATGTACCATTCATTCCGGCATATTTCGGAGTAGGGTTGCCAGCTAAACTTAGGATTAAGAATTTTTTTTTGTATTACCCATGGCACGCTCTGAGGGCCGGTTGGTTAAAGCCTGGTTGACACAAATCAAGGGTTAACATCCTTATCGACGTTTCGACTCCATGCATATATGTAACACGGCAATAACTTACCAGCAACTTACACTTCACCCGGCGGTCCTTACCACTTCACTGACGAATCTCCTTTGCTTTAACAAAAACGTCGCCGACTTATGTAAGTAGGAATTTAGAATGTACATTTGGTATCAGACATACTTCTGAGCCGCTTTACAAAGTAAATTGCGTGTAATGCAGAGCAGTCGCTCATAGTAATTTGGCGCTTGGAAATAACTTCGGCAACAAAACTAGATTAACAATAAATATTTTGTGTTTTATTGTAGAAAGTCACAGTGGTCTTTAATCAGTGTTAGGTATTTTTAAAATGTAGCCAAGTGCAACCTTCAGGAAGTCATTCCAAATTACTCCTATATTTAAAAATTTCAAGATTTGGAATCGTAGCTGCTCCTCTTTTCGACTGGATCATATCTCAGGGAAATTTTGCTTGAACGAGATTGGCCAGATAGACTAAATATCAAATACTGGACTCAAATCTGATAATAACAAATCAGCATATATTTCAATAAAAATGCTCTTATAAAACAAAATATTAGTTTAGGTTTTGGAAAATTCCAAAAGGTGGCGAAATCTTAAAACAATGAAGCAAAAGTGAAATACGCAGAAAGAGTTGATATAAACATTCATAACGGGTGATTTTTTAAGAGCTTGAT